TGTTCTACGGGTTGATCAACGGGGTTGCATTGGTACTGGACATGTTTGCATTTATTCCAAAAGAGCGGCCTAGTTTATAGATACGTAACGAAGTAACGATGATACGACATACAGAAAAGTAAATTACGGGCACTCCGGGACTCACAGCACTAGAAGAACCCCGTGCTGGAGGATCCTTCTTAGATTAACAGTTAAGAAAGCCGGTTTATGTTCTAGGTATATCGCATTATATTCCTTTATTGTTGCTGTCTTTACGGTATACTATGTAGGTTCCAAGCTTGCAAGTCACTATAGACGCTGGCAAATTCTCTAAATAGCGTAGAAAAGCATTTACACGTCTCTCAGTTAAACTGCGCGCGACTAGGCTGGTATTGTGGAAGGGGGTGTATGATACTTCGTTCTAGAAATTATAGGTAGGCATGCTAAAGAGAGGGAGAATTTGTACACGCTTATAGCAATGCGAAGTAAGTGATTATCACGTACACAAACAAGTAATCATCATCGCAAATCAGACAACACGACTAACATCCCGCCCAATATGGCTCAATGTCTGTTCACCGTAGAAACTACACCGCAAGCACACTCCTCATCGCTGAGCCCCTCTTCAAAGACACTACCATTCCCCATCAACTCCAACATTGGACGGCAATGCTCTGCACTACCTCGAGCCCTCCTTCTCTAGCCCCACCAGCACTCATCTGTCTTAGAGAGTAGAAACTACTTCTAGACGGCCGCCTCCGACGTTCAATGTACCCGAGCTCATCTTCAGTCAGACATCTCTCAAGCCATCGAACTGAAAATAACACTCCAACTCAGCCCCTCAGCATCCGCTACATCGTCTCCTACTTCCTTCCAAATCAAGCTTCAACTCCGAGCTCATGGTGGCCGAAGACGAAAGCGGGTTCCTGTAACAGTCTTATCAACGACACCGAGGAACCACCGTTCAAAGTCCGATTATTTGTGTCTCCGGCTGTTCTTTAGGTCCGTGTTGAAGTTCCATCTTTCTGTGCAGGCCTCGAGCCCATATCTTCGGCAGTTGTATTTAGGAAGAAGTTTGAGATTACGACGGGGTAAGGGAGACTGTAGCGTGCGATTGTTGTGGCAAAGGCTGTCGTTCTACTGGGTTTGAGGTTAGAGTGGGATCTAGCCTAAGCGTTGATTATTGAAGGAGTCCATGGTCTACGTACCCACTCAAGTTTATCTGTGTGCAAAATCTGTAAAAGAATCGATCGATCTATGCCTCAAGTTCAAATACTACACATAGGAAGATAAATGATGCATCGTAAAGACTAAGCGCAATCGCCATTACGAATCTCCAGAACAGATCAAGAAATGATCTCTTAAATCCGCTACAATTTCATGCAAAGTCAAGAGGGTTGAAACAACGATTACTTATTCCGACAACAAGCCCTAGAATTCCATCACGGCAAGTACCCACTACAGTCGGCAGTTCACGTCAACCTTTAACCGGCGCCAGGACCCAAAGTCTTAGCCCATTCATCTGCACTCGCTTGGCCTATCTCACCCCTTCTCCATAATCACCACCTAAATTACCTCCAAGCGTACCGGGTATCCATCAATATTAGCGGACCGATATAAAAGGCCGGGTGCCAGGGTAGAGCTAGCACGTAATTAATTAAACACCGAGATACCACCGCCAGCGCGCTTCCTGAGCGCAATATGAAATATTAAGGGAATAGGGAAGAACTGGGAAAATGTGGAGGCAGCTACTATCCTGGGTGGCGGGGCAAAATATCTTCCAAGGGATAGGAGAGGAGGGGGGGCTAGGCGGACGTATATTTAGTCTTTGGTTCGTGCCTCAGATATTGTAGGAAATTTCCCAGTCGACGCCCGGATTCACACCCAGTCTACCCAAGAACCCGCAGTTCTCGAAATCTCCCAAAATGCGCGTCACTCTCTTGCTATCCGTGCTCCTCGCGCCCTTGGGCGCCCTCGCGGCCCCGGCTGCGTACCCCATCGAGCACGCTGCAGTCGAACAACGACAAAACCGGCCAGCTAAGCCAAAGCCATGCGTCGCCATTGTGCCCGCCCCAAGCGTCAACGAGACACTCGCCCGATTCAACAAATTCGCCCAAGCGTTCATTTACAAGAAGAACATCACCGAGGCGTTTGAGTACATCTCAAAGGAATATATTGTAAGGCGCTTTCCCTTCTTTCGTGCGTGGTAAAGCGCGCCGAAGAAGTCTGGAAATGCATGTATGTGTGCTAACACAATGAAATCTAGAACCACAACCCCGCTGCTCAAAACGGGTTCGACTCTGCGTGGAATATCCTCAGCCCTATCTGGGGCAGCCAGAGCATCACGCCTCTTCGGACAACGTTCAAGGATCCTCAGGGATGGCTGAATTACCGAACTGGAAGCTTTGGCGAGGTTGTGGATCGATTTAGGTGGGCAGATGGATGTATTGCTGAACACGTAAGTTCGAAGTCAGTAGTTGCAGGAGACGAATGCTAATGGTGGATTTCAGTGGGACCAGGGAGAGAAATATCCAACGACGACTTGAATGGACTGATAGGAGGGTTAGAGATGGAGATCTCTGAGGAATGAGAGGCTGATGTAAAGTAGAGGACGATGGATGGTATTGAAAGAGATGAGGTACGATGTTGACCGAGAATGAAGGATGTCAGATTCCTTTACTTTCCCTTGCCATCTGGCCATATGTTTTCAGCTCTTGCCCATGGATGCTCTCCGGTCTATATGCCCGCGAAATTCAGCCCTCTAGTCTACATCTCCAATCCGATATTACCTATGCAGCATGTATAAAGGCATTCCCACGCCCCAAAAATGCAGGTCAAAGTGTATGCCGACCTCAAGCCACCACAGCATTTGCCTCATTCTCCCTCTTCTCCTCTTCCTTGGCTTCCAGCTTGCCAGTACTCTTAAAAATACCCTCCAGCACTGTCTTAATATCTCCCAAAAATCTATCCACCTCCTTCTCCGTTCCAACTGTTATTCTCAAGCATCCCAGACATCCATGCTCTTTGCCCCGGAATCGGACTACGACTCCCCTCTCTTCCGCGAGACCTTCATATGCACCTAGTGCTGTCTCGTTGGATGGCTTTCCACCCTTTTCTGCAGGTGCATCCAGCATTTCGACGAGCAGGAAATTTGACTCCTCGCCTCCAAGAAACTTCCCTACGCCAGGAACCTTCGGTAACTCTTTCAGTAGCCTGTTCCTTTGCTCTATTATCAATTCCTTGTTTTTCGACATGACTTCTAGGTGTTTAGGGCTCAGCGCCGCTCGCGCAATTTGACTAGTCGGGTTTGGTATGTTGTATGGCGCCTTCATTGAATTGAACAATCTGGCGATTGCGGGATCCGAGAATGCTGACCCAAGCCGTATTCCGGCGAGACCAAACGCTTTTGAGAGTGTTTGTAGAACCACTAGGTTAGGCCATTCGGTGACCCACTCTGCCAGACTTGATCCCTCAGGAGCGAAGTCGATGTATGCCTCATCCAGTACCACCACCCCGTTCCAGCTCTCGTGTTCTAGTATCTGTCGCACATCCTCCTTCTTTAGCAATGACCCCGTCGGGTTCCCTGGCGAACAGAAATATGCCAATTTTATTGTCGGATCGGCGGAGAGCGCGGACTTTATGGCGGGCACATCAAGGCCGAAGCCTACTGTAAGGAGGGGCACTTTAACGAGTGCGACGTCATTGACCTGCGCCGAAACACCGTACATGCCATATGTCGGCGGACATGTGAGGATCTTATCTTTTCCTGGTATGCAGAAGGCGCGTAGGAGGGCGTCGATGGCTTCGTCCGAACCAACACCTACGAAGAGGTTGTCTGGAGTGAGAGACTTGGAGGTGTGGGTGTGGGTGTTGCGGAGGTTGCATAGGCCTTGTTTTAGATCTAACTGGTGCCTTCAAATAGGGCAGAAGTCAGCTCAGAAGTTGTAGAGGCCATTGGGGGGATTTACGGGTCTGGGTAACGATTTAACCCCAGTAAATCCACGTCAATGGAAGAATTTGACGTCGCGCCTGGAAGCTTTCCATTCTCACTAAGCGCCAGTCCAGGTCCGTACGCATTCTCATTCGCATCAAGGAGAATATTCGTGCCGTCATCTTTGTAGTCACTATTTCGCGTCAATGACTGTTCTTTCTGGCAACAACCATTGAGATTTACTTACTCGCGCGCGCATCGGTACGGCTCCAATGCGAGGATATTTGGCCTTGCGCATTTTGATAGATCAAAGGGGGAGGTTTTGGGACCCATTTTGCGCGTGTAGTAAAGGAATTGGGAAGGTTGAGTTGAACTGAGTCAAAAGTTTGGAGATGGCGGAACTTAAACATGCACCGCGGGGCAGCGATGTCGGGCGGGAGTCATTGCAAACCACGCCATACCTAATCTGGAAGGCTGTGCCAGAATGCGCTCCTCTGACAAGACTCATCAGTCTAGACAAGAGGTTTCTGACGCAAAATTTCTCTTGATCATTCCTTTGTGTGGTAAGTGTGTACGGAAATTCGCAATCGGGGTTGTTGTCTTACCAAGGCGACTTTGGTTCAGCCGGCTATAGTTCAAGATTTGACAAACCCAACAAAAAGATAACTCGGGGATACCATAGGAGATGCTGAAGGTTCTTGAGCTCTTGGATTTATTTAGGAAGGGTTGGATAGGAGAGTTGAACTTTGAATTATATGAACCCATCTCCTTAGTTGTGAGGACCAGTGCAGGCTAAACATAGAAGATTGAAAAGTGCTCATGAACATCTCCGATCTATTCTTCGATGTTCTGTTGAAATTTTGTATTTATCCTCTCTTGCACGACAAGTCTCTCTAAACTTTAGAAGATGAAGGCGGTCGGAAATCTATTTGTGTTGGTAATGACGCGTGCTAGAAACTGAGGCAAAATAAAGGGTTGACTCGTGATGCCCCGCTTTTGCCAACTAAAATTTCTGCCACTTCCGAGCCATACTCTTTTACCACAGTACATATATTCATTAATTCACGGATTCTTTCATAATTAAAACAACTCCGATATGGTCTAGTGGCTAGGATTTGCCGCTCTCATCAAGAGCAGTTCACTCTAGTAGTGCCGGCAAGGCCCGGGTTCGATTCCCGGTGTCGGAAAATTTGTCTTTTTTGCATTCAATAATTTTTTGGTGTTTTTTTTGTGACATGGGGTTTGCGGCAGGAGCTGAATGAATTTTTGTGGTTAAGCGAGACGGTTAGGGTGTTAAGAACATGAAGAAATACTATTTTTTCAAGTAGGTGAGGAACCAGCTCGAAGTGAGTCCAGGTTATGTTATGCTTGAATCGAATAACTCTTTTAGCTTATACAGGAGGGTAGTATAGGTTAGAATGAACTCTTTCAGTCTATTTGTAACGATTGCATGTTTGTTCCGCAATACAGTAAATTAGATAGAGCTCTTGAAATAGCTTACACCTTATACGGTGCAAGGACAAGGGCAATAGTTTTCGAGTCGGCGTTGACTACGTCCGATAATAAATGCATCTTCTCGAGTACAAAATAGATAGTGAAATGGTCTATAATAAGGGTACGTGAGAGTATGCTGAAACACCTCGAACCGAAAATGTTAGGGATATAGTGTACATGTACTCCTAGCAGATACATTAGGATCAAGCACAGCTTCGGTGGTTCTTTTACCCTAAAGCTGGTTTCGCAAAGGCTTCTGCCCTATTGTACTTTCCAGCGCTTCCTGATGGGGCACTTTCTTCTAGTAGCATTTCTTCGATTTGTCCCAAGTCACTTTTCAAGAGCTCTAACTCAAATATAACATGGATTGAGTTTTCAAGCACTCTCTGGATAACCTAACGTGAATCTATTATAGTGTACTGTTGTTTATTGCTAGAAGTAATCGTGTACTAGAACTGAGTACTTTCTTAATTTTGTTTAGATGTAACGATGTAGCAGAATATAAATGTATAGAGAATTTTGATTTCGGGGACGCTGCAATACTTATGCATGCAATGAATTTACACTTTTAGACTAAAGGAAGACTTCTTAAGGCAGATACAGCACATATAGTAAAGCTTAGTTGATCTCTTTACTCTTAGACTATAATTACCTTATAGTTCTATTCTACATAGTTTGTTATTTGAATATCTGCATTCCCCTCAATAAGCACCTCTGCGCGAATAAATTACAACTCAAGCAATTAAGTAGAGGATTAAATGGTTAAATCACCTCTATTCAGAGCGGCTTTTAGGGATAATGATTAAGGTCTAGAAAAAGTCTCTTTGCTTCTTGCTATTTTTCTATAGTAATCCTAGGTAGGCCTGTTACCTATCTTTGTTACCTAATAGGTAACAAGTAACTTTCCGGAAAGTAAACAGTGGCCTACTAGGAGCTATATAGAAGGTCATTGGATCTTTTCGTTTTAGTTATGTCGTAGAAAGAGGGTTCTTATCAACTTCATGACCCAGTTGATCTACTGAGAGCTCTAATCATCTGCGTGGCTATGGCTCTGCGAGTCTCTGAGCTATCCAAGCACTTCATTCTATATATTCAACTCTTCGATCTGAATATTATCTCTAAATCACCTTTTTCATCGTTTGGTGGCGCCCTATATATCACATCTGTTCAAAGCTATACCTGCTCATAACCTACCCCTGTTGAAAAATGTCTCCGTCAATATCATGAGTAAGTAAACAGGAGATTTCTAGAGCTGTTCTGTTATGACTTCAAGGATTGGCTTTTGACTCGAGAATGAGATTCCTCTGCTTGTTTCAACAGCACGTTTTACATGAGATTTTCGTTCTTAGGATATTTATTGAACTTTGTAGCGTCAATTCGTTTAGCCTGTTAAACTTAATATCTGTTTAGAAGGGATATGACTGAGCTCTACCAGTAGCCCGGTCTATACATAAATACTAGCTATTCACGCGCGCACGCGCACTTACTTCTACCCTCCTAAACAGTTACTGCACAATAGAGAATTAACCCAAAGCAAAAGCCTAGAGCAAGGAATAAGTCCAAGGGCAAGATGCTATTACCCAATTCCTTCCACGATAAACACACTCTAACACAATAATCCCTCCAGCAGCTCCACAAAGACACACAAAAGCTGCATCAATCCTTTTACCTTTGCACCACAACTGCATTAAAATCCCATAGCTTCATCGCAGCAAAGCCCAACCCATCTTTCAGCCTCGGCGAATCCAACCGACCCAAGAGTACGTATCCAACCCCGTCGCTATATCGAATATATCGAAGCGCTGCACCGCCCACGCGCCCAATATCCACATCCGGAACTTCAGCTTGGTGTCACGTCAGCAGTTCTGAGCAGCCCCCACTGAAGAGAATAGAAAGCAGGAAATGCTATCTGGCTGTGGAATTATTGGTTCACGTGCATTAGATATTGAATCAAGACAAAGAAATACAAGTGTTAGCTATGCTGGACGTGGATCTAGATGCGAAGGGAGGTGGAATGGGAGAGCAGGGGTGAGGAACGCATGGTCGATGCACGACGCGCAAACACCGAGCGTGCTAATTGACCAATGGATTGCTGAGTTGTACATGTATTTAATCTACACAGAAGACTTGATGCGTGATTAATGCAGGTAGTCTCGACGTACGTTAATCCCCGAGCTGAAATGGCTGCGAGGTGAGGGGGAAGCCGGGGCAGATTAAGATACCTCCAGCAGAACCTCTCTCCCGCAACACGAGAAGTCTAAATTATATTCAATCATCGCGCTGCTACATTACCATATACTCATAATTTCTCTGTGCCAACAACAAGTTTCTAGCTGAGGTGGCAAGTAAGATGCATACGTACGATGGAAATCAATACGAACCAACAGCAGCTAGTAAATTGCCAACCGGACTCCGGAGTACGAGCATGGAAACGAGATGGCGACAGCAAGTCTAGCCTCAGGCTCCCCAATCTCGGTCGCAGCCGCAATGCGGAGATGAAAAGAAGGCAAGATGATGGTCGGAGTGGGAGGCTGTTACCTTTTCTAGACTGAGGCTGCTGGAAAGAGATGCGTCGAGATGGATTGGGACATGAGTGGTGTGATGAGAAAGAAGGCGTATATTGAATGGGCTGCAGGCCTTCAGCACCAGCGCAACATACTGCAGCGAGTGAACACGGCGGCAGAACATTCAATGTCGTCGTGCGTTCGATGTCCTGCAGCTGTCGTTTCTGCCCGAAGGAACAACCCACCAACATCCATCCCATGGCAGACGTGGTGATGTTTCTTGGGATCGCGATTCCTTCTCCATCCTGAAGTTGGATCCTTTTATGCAATCAAAGACAGCAGGTTTAGGGAATAGGAATGCGCCTTGTAAACCCATCTCAGCAGCTTCGCGTTTATGCATTGCTAACTGCAGGGATACTCAAATGCTGTAAACGAAACATCCGTGTTTTGTTTCACCATTAGCTCGATCGGAGTGGGATGGGGTAAGCTGCATGGGACTAGGCACCGCATGGCATGGCATAGTGCGCGGGTGAGGTGAGATTCTTATTCAACGGGTACCTGCGTGTATTCCACCGCTGACAGGCACACACATGCGTTGCCACTATTTATACAGTATCCTAATCAAATAAACATATATCTTGACATTTGTGTTCATGCGTAGCTTGACGCGCTTCTCTTTCCATTTAGTAGGAATTGGAATAAACCGATCTACCTACATGCTCTATGATGGTTGTCCTAGTCAAGATACAAGGCGCATGGCGAGTAGATATTGTAGTAGTCTAGGGAACTCATTGAGGAATATGGGCATAAGCCCACAAAATTGCATCTACATCGATTCGAGGAAGACGACAATGCAACACACGGTGTGCATACACGTACCGACTCGGGTATTACTCATCGAGCAAGTCCATAACGAGTTGAGGGATGACTTCCACGCCCTCACCCTTGATCGCACTTATCGGTACCGACTGCACCTTGTGTTTCCACGCATTCTTGCGATTGCTAGGGTGAGGCTGCGCACCGCTTTTTACCTCCCCTAAGTACCTTTGCAACGCTTCGTAGTTTGCCTGAGTCTCCGGCAAGTCCGCCTTGGTTCCTACGACGAGCCAAGGCTTTGATGTGATTGATGTCGATGTTAGGAACGGAAGAGGCTTCAAAGAGTTCAAGTCTGGCGGGTCTAAGTCGCCGAACGGGTCTCCCTGATTGGAGGTGATTTTGCCTGGGCTGTACGTGACCATTCGACGCTCGGTGGCGGCATTCAACTCTTTCCCCTGCAGAGACTCGTATTCAGATACTTCCCGCCAGAGAAGCTTGAGCGCTGCCACGGCGTCGCCAGCGGACAGGTCGATGACGAATGCAAGGACCGCTGCTCGCTCTACGTGGCGGAGGAAGCCCAGACCCAGTCCTTTGTCGAGATGTGCGTCCTCGATCAAGCCGGGGACGTCAGCTATCAGAAAGTTTTCCCGCAACTCGCCATCTCTTCTGCGCTTCATGACCGCCGGGCGGCCCTTGTGGTTATCCAAGACGACTGTGCCGACATTGGGTTGGAGGGTGGTAAACGCCCAACTGCCTACTCGGGCTCGGCTGTTCGTCAGAGCTCTGGTCAGGGTGCTCTTGCCGGCATTTGGCAAACCAACCAGTCCGAGATCGGCCAATATCTTCAATTCAAGCTGCATTGACACTTTCATGCCCTCATCTCCTCTTGTGGCCATCTTCGGCCTGGACTGGTTAGGCAGGACAAAATGCGGATTGCCCAAGCCGCCCATTGCGCCAGCAGCAAGAAGCAAGGGCGTCTCCATGTGCTTGTCCAGATCCAGCCAGATGGGAGCTTGCGGTTGCAGCGCTGCGAGATGGGACTTGCGGGGCGCCGGCAGGACAGGAAATGTCATTCTGTTTAATTCCGAAGGGACCATGCCCGGAAACACTAGCCATTTGTCCTTTCTGTAGCTGCTCGCCTCTTCCTCCTCTGTTTGTTCCTTGGGCGGCTGCCGTTCGTTCCTCCACTGCTCTGCAATTTCGTCCGCAATGGCATCATGTCGTAGAATCTCGCGTACGATGGTTCCGACAGGCACAGTGATGAGTACGTCTTCCCCTCTTTCGCCGCCTCTCAGCTTTCCCTGCCCATTGCGACCTCGTCCTGCCTTGATGAGACGTCGCCGCGCGAGCTTGTGCAGCGAAGTCTCGCCACG